TCCTATGCATTATTCATAACATGATAAATACTGGCTACTGTCTTACTGTAATATTCCTGTCTTGATTGTTACCATCACATGAAGTGTAATTACGAGTGAATTCAAGTGTAGTGTATCCATTTTCCTCTTCAGCACTTATCAGAAACCAGTCCTGCTGCATATCAATTGCTGGAGTAGACTGGGCAGTAGCAAACCTATCCTATACAGACTCAGTATAACACACCATTAGACACACAGTTATACTTACATTAAAGTAGCTACGTCCATCCTGTACCCATCCAATGACTACATCAGATCCAACCATTCCTCCATTAGGTGAAATACCAAATCCAACCCATCCTGTAGTCTGTACTCTGACTGCAAAGGTAAGGTTCCTGTCTGTTGGATTGTAGTTCCAGTAGAGAGTATATTGAGGATGGAGAACCCTCCTAAAATTGTACTTAGCAAGGTGCATGTGACCCAAGCAGCAAGGCAGGACCAGCAGAAGAGCAATCAAACAAAGAGAGGAGGTCAGGGCCATCTTCTTTGATCAGTAAGTGAGCTGACTGAGCTCAGTGGGGTGTGCAACTGTAACTAAATGCAATACCACTATTATAGTTCCAAATATGGCTATGAATTCAATCCTATACATACATGTATATCATATGATATCCCAGGGTATACGCACATAATGCCACATGATGTGTAAGCATCAGACTTCATGTGGAATCTATAGCGTACTTTTAATCATTAATTTTACAAGAAGCCATGTCAAGATATAAATATTCACATTAGTCTATTGATCAAACAATACAGAAATAAACAATATGTGCGTATGAAATTCTGAACCCACTCCTAGGCTCATTTGTAATGAAACACATAGCCCATGGCTTTTCACCAAATTTTGGAGTAACTTCAAAAAGATTTATTTAAAAATTCAATTTTGATTGAAATTAGCTCAAACTTTCTACACAACATAAGAACATGGATATGTATTAGAAAAAATGGAGAATTCTCTTTTCATTTTTGATAAAATTTGATATTTTGTTAAATTTTTGAGCAACTTTAAAAAAAATTCTCTGACAAGAAGCTGGGCACTATGCCAAAATCCTGGGGGAAACCCTGAATCAAGATGGCAAATTTGCAAAAATAATTCTTAGTGGTTGAGCTTATCAATATAATGAAACACATTTCATATGACTATATTTTGTTTTTAAAAAATTATCTACATGTAAATGTAATAGGTGCTTGCAGAGGTCAAAGGTCAGAGGCGGTCAGTCGAGTTGGTTGAGATATTGCAGCTGCTGTAGGACCCTCGACTGACTCGTCTCTCTTATCTCACCGGCTAAAAACATTTCATCAACGACGGCATAAACCTTTTAAAAAAAGAGATATGAGGAGAATAATGTATCCACTAATAGCCAAAGAGAGGTTTTGAATTTAAGTACCTTATAAAAGTTGAAAACTAAGTCTAGTTCACAGACGTTGTGGAAGAACTCATTAAGAACCTAGCAAAATGAAATAAAATCAATGTAAGAATGACAAGAGAAGTAAGAGAGAGAGAAAAAATAAAAACCATCTGACTGACCTCTACAAAATTATGAATGGCTTCAAGATAGGCAAGATTATTATCGTCAAGATCGACGCAAATACAGAAATAAAGTCCGGCATAGCGACGGTATACTATCTTGAAGTTACGAAACTGTAAAATATATTTTATATGATTAATAAAAAGTGTGTGCGGCTCAAAATGACTCACGGCAACAAAGTTTGTGTGTTTGGCGTCTCGTACAGTGACAATGGCATGAACCTCCTCAATCAGTTTCTGCTTTTCATCATCATCAAAGTGCATGTACCATTTAGCCAGACGTGTCTTGCCTGCTCTGTTCTGTATCAGTATAAAACGAATCTAAACAGAGAAAGAGAGGGAGGGGATTTAAAGACAAAAATATGCATAGTAATAGTAAAAATGATATCATAGGCATCTTTTGAGACTTGATTTACTCACCATTTTCCCTTAAAACTAGGTTTAAAAACCCAACGAAAGAACCCTTTCCTCTTTACAAAAAAGAACCACGCCTATTTTAGAAATTAGGTCACGTGATCAATAGTTGATAACCAGCCACGCCTACTCTAGTTTTGATTAATTGCAATTGCATAACTGCATAATCTCATAAGTTGTTTTTTCAGCCCTTTCACTTGACAGTAGCAGTAGACAGGAGGTGCAAGCATGAGTACATTAACTGTGTCCATTGTGATACTGCTACTAATAGCTGGTACAACCATGAGCCAAAGGATGGGCTCTAATGTACAATACAGACCTGGTAAGTTTTCTAATTTCATTTGAAATAATCTTTTAATTTATTTCATTTCAGATCAGTGTCTGAGAGGTGATAAGCACAGCCCGGAGCCAGAGACTGGTGACTATTATGCTTGCCATCAGTGGAAGGACGGGGCCTGCTGCAGCTCAAATTTTACCAAACAGCTAGCAAATGTAGTTTATTTATTTATTTATTTTAACTTAATACTGTACCACAAACCACAATAATCCACATCTATAGATCCATGCACTGTATTCAGCATTTCATGTACATGTACACAATACCAATACGTATTCAGCATTCAATATATTTCGAGCTATGAATACTTTGGTTTGGTGTCATTGCTTGCCTTACATGAAATTAGTGGTAATGTGGTTTATGCTACTCTACATAAGGGCCCCCGGCCACAGCTGCTTTGATAACCACAGCCAATCCTCATCACATGCACTAATGTTATTCATGTACTGATATCATGTACTAATATTATTATATATATATATTGTGGTTTCTTATCTTCCATTTGCTAGTCCTCAGTCACCAGTATTGATGGGTTCCATTGGGATCGATGTGACAGCAACCTCTCTTCGCAATGTAGGAAGTTTTTCGTAGAAATCGAATGCTTTTACAGGTAAAGACAAATAATTATTATGAATCAAAGAGATTAAATTTATATTTGTAGGTGTTCACCAAATGTTGCTCATTTCGAAGTGGCGGAGTTTCCAAGTGCTTTTGCAAACCTACCGCTATGCGGTGATTATTGTGACAGGTGGTATGAAGCATGTAAAGATGAGCGTACTTGTGCAGTCAATTGGATCATGGACTGGGACTATAATAACATGACGGGCGAGAACCACTGCAAAGCAAATTCACAATGTCAGAAATACAGGTAGGAAGAATAAGGAAAAAGAGAGAAGGGGAAAGGGCAACAACTTATTAATCCTCTTCTTTTTTCCAGTGATGTTTATAGAAATGGCCGCGGCATATGTAACATGCTTTGGGGTCGCTCCTTCTTTTATTCTAATTCCTCGAGCACTGATCCTGATGACAGGCGAGAGTGTCTCACGCCTTATTTCCCAGTAAATGGGACCAATCCAAATACTGTCGTTATACAAAGGTTCTTCAATCAAAGTGGATCGATGATGCTCCTAGGAAATATCAATATTGTGCTGATTGCCCTCACTGCTGTCTTCACAATGCTGTACTTCTAAAAGACTTTGCACTGTTGAATTTGTTAATTATTATTACTATTCTTTCTTATTGGTTTTTGTGCAATGACTTTAAATTGAGGCCTTTCTATGATCATTCTAACATACTAATTTGTACTTTTTTCAAATAAAACACTGACAGAGAGATACAGACACAGAGAAGAGAAGAATACTACAATGTAAACCATGACCAAGATAAGATGCACACAGACACAATATTAGATAGAGAGATGGATAATAATAATAATTGTACACAAGATTAACAGCTAAATAATAATAATAATAATAATAATTCTTTAATTAATATGACTTTGCTCTTTTCTCTGACTTGCTTCTCATGAAATTCACGGCCATCATCGTCCCTGAAAATGCTAAATACGCAAGGTAGATAAACGCCGCTACAAAGCAGGACCTAATGGAAAAGGTTTTATAAAAATCTATTCATTCTCATAATGATTGTCATATGATAGTCAGCTGATGATCGTTACAGTATTAATGGAGCTTACAGGGAGGCGTTGTTATAAGCTTTCACAGCATTTATTTCTGTTTGAGTAGCATTATTACTAGAGGAAAGAGAAAGAAGAAAAGAGAAATCATTTCATTCATCTCAAAACAAACCAGTAAAATGGTCATGCAAGTACAGTTGTTTATAAACTTCGATCAAAATTAATTTTTTTTCAAATTTTTAAAACTGTTCCAAAATCTGGTAAAAATCCCTGTACTATAGTACATGGTCTTGGGCCAAATTTTGCCAAAATTGAAAAAGAGAAATTTCTCCATTTTTATATTTTTTCCTGATACATATACATGTACTTATGTTGCATAAAAAGTTTGAGCTGATTCCAATCAAAATTGGATTTTTTATAAATTTTTAAAGTTCCTCCAAAATCGAGCAAAAGTACCTGTACTATAGTACAGGGGCGTCAGCCAAATTTCAGCAAAAATCATTTGGTGAGAATTCTGCATTTTTATAATTTTTTCTGATACATATACATGTACTTATGCTGCGTAGAAAGTTTGAGCTGATTCCAATGAAAATTGGATTTTTTACAAAATTTTTAAAGTTGCTCAATACTGATGCTTTTTAGCCCCCCTTATCGCTTTATAGGAAACCCTCTATATAAGATGATAACTCACTGTGCTTCATCGAATTTAATATCCTCATACAGTGCCACTGCTTGTAGCCTCATAGCACCACCCAAGCATAACTAAATATTAATAAATAAAGATTTAATTAGAGAACAAAAGGGGCGTGAACATGGGCCCTATTCATAGATACAGGGTGCCAGTAAAAAGGAATTATCTCTTCTATGCACTTTATATATAATAGCATATTTAACATTGAGAGCCTTATACTCAATTATACACACTTTTAAAGTATTACAGAAAAAAATATATAAGGACATTTTGTATTTTTATACAAGCTTCTAGTTTTGTCCCAGATTTTTGCTTACCATCATGATGACAGCCCATACTGAGAGTATAGTGCAGCAGGTGGAGCCTTGGAATCCACAGAAACAAAAGAAAATCTTTCCAAATACGTTACCAGAGTCCATTGTAAAGAGAAAGAGAGATTTTTGATCTTGTGATTGCAAAAGGGTGGGGCTGAAATAATCACGTGATTAATAGGTGGAGTCAATTAGCACGTGATTTGCGTGGGTGTTGACCTTAGCAACGAGAACATAGCAACGCTGGAAACTTGATACTGCTTTTGCTGTAGCCATGCCTAAGAAGGCAAAGGGGAAAGGAAAAGGGAAAGGAAAGAAAGGAAAGTCCAAGGGAAAGGGAAAGAAAGGGAAGAAGAAGGGAAGGTAGGCTTAACTCTATTTTGTACGAATGAACCACCTCAACTCTTCTATTGAACTGTCAGTAAATCCGGTGATGGAGCATCGGACAAAGAATCAATGTTGAAGGAAGCTCTGAATTCTGCTAAACTATGGGAAGCAAGATACGAAGCAACAGAGAAATCTAGAGTAGAATACCGTGAAGTAAGTTGCTACAATAAATGATGAAAATGAAGCAGTTGATTCTTTTATGACTGAATAGAATACACAAAGACTCATCACTGAGAATGACTCCTTGCAATCTGCCATCAACAAGACAGAGAAGGACACCATTGAAGTGATTACTTTCCTCAAGAAGAAAGACACTCAGAAAGATCAAGAGGTTTCTGAGCTGAAAGGTGATCTTAGAACACTACGACACACCCTGTACAAAGAATGGGAAGAGAAGGAAACCAGAATGAAGGAATCTCTGATAACATTAGAAGATGACCTGTCTAAAAGGGACCAAGAGGTGCAGAATCTACACACATTATGTATAATTATTATATGTACTAATTTTAATGAAATTCTTGCAGATATCAGTCATGCAGACTGAGCTAAGAACAATGAGAGATTTCAGGAGAAAGAGAGCAGAGCTACAAGAGCAATTGGAAACACTCCAAGAGACACTCGATGAAACAAAATTCATGCACAAGCAACAAATGATTGCCTTGGAGGAGAAATTTTTTGAAGAAAAGGTATACATTATGCATATACAATCTTTAATTTTTTATGATTTTAAAAATATTATTATAGTTGCGCCTCCAGAAAGAAGCAAATCGTCGTATTGAAGAGCTTGCCTCTAAAGCTCACTCAGAAGCAATTGCAAACCTTGATGAGAAAACTCGCTCTGTTTACAGAGAGAACATAACAATATCTGAAGCACTCTCGCTGCACATGTCAGAGGAACATGAGCTAAGAAAAGAGAAGGAGAGTCTTGAAATGGCCAACAGGCAACTAGCAGCAGAGAAAGAGTTAAGCCAGCAGATGGCCCAAGGTAAAGTTCAAGAGGCTCGAAGACAGAAGAAACAAATACAAGAACTTAATGCAAAAGTGTCCACATTGGAAGAGAGTCTCACTGTTGTAGTGAAAGAGTTTGAGAAGGAAAGAGAGCAAATTCAGAAGAGACATGAAAAGGAATTATTGGTGACTAATAATGAGCTCACCATTCTTCATAGACAATGTGAACTTCAGAAAAGGTAAAGAAATGTAGGACATTATCATCACAGAAGTTTATAATAATGTGCATCATATCATAATAGAGAAACTGCTCATATCAAAAGACTAGCACAACATCTTTTGGATCAAAGGACAGAAATTGAGCAGTTCTTCCTTGAAGCACTAGGCCAAGTTAAAAAAGAAATTAAAGCCAACAGGTAAATAATAATCATCACACTATGCTGGGTAACATTCATTATGATTATTTAATTGTATTTTAGGCTGCAGTATAGACGAAATGCAGAGAAAATGTATCACCACCAGTTGATAGAAGCTGTACAGGGTAAGAGACGGTTCCCTCCAGTTCGTACATTCCATCCATCACTGACATCAACTAACAGCATCTACCATGACATGATACTAGCAGAACAATGGTAAAATTAATAAGCTACTTTGAATCACTGTATAATATTCAATACACACATTAGGGATGGAGTTAATGAAGGTGTTGATATAGGTGATTTAACTTGGGAGCAAAAGGAACAGGTACAGTATAATTATGTACTTATAATGCTTGATGTAATATCCTTCTTCTTTATCTCACTGTCATGTTTCTTTAAAGGTGCTTCGTCTTTTGTTTGCAAAAATAAATTCAAAAGAGAAGCTAAAGACAAGTGACACTACATCATCTCTTGCTCTTCCTCCTCCTCCAGTGCCTTCACTTGAAGACAGCAGACTACCTGCAATGTAATGGACACACACAATTCATGCACATAATATACTTAATGTTTTACTTACTTGTAGTAATGAAGGACAGTTACCATCCAGTAAATCTCCAGGAAAGTCTCCAACAGCAGAGAAAATGTCGGTATTCATTACACAGCAGGATCACGCTCAGAAGTCCTCCATTGAACAATCTTGCTAGGATTTTGCAATTAAAAAATATTATAACATTATGTATAAATTATTGTAAAATAACTTGAATGAATAATAATAATAATAAGATAAACAAAGTTCTGATAAACCTGTAATACGTTACAATAATACTTTAAATGTCAATAATAAAGAGGGGGTAGTCTTTAGCATGTTAATAATGATAATAAGTATAACTATTATTAAATATCATGTACGTAATAAGTAATAAGTGTTGCTAGTAGTTCAGAGCACATAAGAGTGCAACTCCTCGTTTTATCCAATAGAACTGTGGTTTAGTGGATGGGACCTCCACTGACACTACATAGTTAGTCGAGTGACCAGTAGTAGACAAAGTACCTATTTTAATAATTTTAAAAATGGAATAATTTTGTCACTATTATAGCTGCTAATATTTACCTGCTCTTGTTAGTGTTTTATACACTGGACATATGTATATCCCACTGTCTGGTTGCTTCCTGTTAGCAGTTGGTATCAACCACATGACTGGCATGTCAGTGTAGAGTTCTTTAGGACGAGACTCGGCTAGCTCAAATTGATCAGCGTCCCAGCAAGATCCCTCAAGGAATAACCCATATATATAGCAGCCATTAGCCGGTCTTTCTTTTAACTCGCTCACGTCTTCCTTTACTATTTTAAAGTCAAAGGATATTATGTCTATGGAGATGATGGCCTTCCTGGCATAGTTTTGAAGTGTGCCGGTTAAGAAAGCTTGTGGGAAGAAGAATCCAGAAATCCAAAATGCCTATGAAATAAAAATATTAATCACATTTACATGTACTTGTGATAATATGTCTGATATTAACAATAATACATGTAGTGCATGCTGTTTTAATTATTGGCTTACTGGTGGTATTCCATTATCAATCCAGCCAGTAATGAACTCAATTCGCTTCACTAGATCAGTAACCCAAGATGAGAGTGGCTTTAAAGAAGGATAAGCCTACATAAAGGTACACATGTACATGTACATTTAAACAGTAAATGCATAAGGTGTAGATTACTCTTTATGTACATGTATTAAAATACAATATATAATTTACTTTATTAGCCCAGAGTTGAGGTACTGTGTTATTATAAAGTGAGTTGAACATTTTCTCCAGCGCCTCGCTCATCACTACTAAACCTTTCAGTGCTTTGAGGAGATCCCTCAGCGTTCGCTTTATAACAACAAGTAGGTTATTGTAGCGTATCACCTAATGAGAATAAAATAATAATACATTAATACAGGATATTATCATACTGCATTATACAGTATGTACTATTATAGTGTCAATGGCCCTTGTCAAATTTTTGAGTAACTTTAAAAATTCGTAAAAAATTCAATTTATATCGGAATCAGCTCAAACTTGAAAAATAGCATAAGAACATGTATATCTATTAGAAAAATTTATAAAAGTGGAAAATTCTCTCTAAGCCATTTTGACAAAATTTGGCCGATGACCCAAGGCTATAGCCTTTGGTATTCGGCCCAATTTTGGAGTAACTTTAAAAATTCATAAAAAATCTAATTTTTATTGGAATCAGCTTAAACTTGAAAAATAGCATAAGAACATATATATCTATCAGAAAAAAATTATAAAATCAAAAATTCTCTCCTAGCCATTTTTGATGAAATTTACCCTGTACTATAAATATAAAGCCCATGATTTTTGGCCTGTCCATCATGTCAATTTGTCTAGCATGTGGTGCATGTATATATATTGTACCTCTTGTATTAGGACAGTGTTCATTGACTCCTCATATTTGACTGGATACTTCTCCATTACTGGCTCAAGTTTAATCGGATCAGGAACACTTTCCAATATATTCTTAGCACTTTCCTCAACAACCTAAAAATAAAAAAACAAAAATAAATAAATAAATAATTGCAAAATAGAAAAAAAGAGAGATAATATAAAAACTCATGTCCATGTACATATTTGTACCTCTTCTCTTGATGATCCACCAGCAGAGGAACTCTTTGGTTGGAGTAGTAGGATTGATGCCATCATGCTGAAGGTCTCATTCTGTGCATAAGTGATGTTTGCATTGTCATGTAATCCAAATATCTCCGGAGTATCATTGATTGGTAGGCCACGTATATAATTCATATAAGCCTATTATTAATAGTATAACAATGGCTTTTAGCTTATACATGTACATGCATGAACAAACATGTAATTCCATTTATCCATTAGATTATATACATGTACATATATTATAGATGTACATATAATGTTATAAACCTCTTGTTTAGAGCCGGATTCAATCTGATGATAAATGCCAGAGATTGAGAATGAGTGGCCATCAGTGAGTACATCTGGTGAATAGAAGTCATTGAGTATGTTCATGATGCAGCGCCTGTCCCAATCATCAGTAACACGACCGCCATAATTAATGTGACCGGCAGTATACTTCAGTACCTATACATTGTATGATAAATACATGTACATGTATGTGAAATTTAGTTTATACATGTACATGTATGTGTACGATGTACAGTGCATGAATCAGTGTCATAGCATTTTTAGAACTGTACATGTACATGTATGTACATGTATAAATGTAAGAATAATCATTCAAAAGACTCTCTCATTACATGTAAAGCTGTGTGTACATGTACAGTATGATTGCTACATTGCACTATGTACAGATTAATGGTGTTTCTACCTTGAAAGGTATTTCAGTGTATTCGTTAAGGAACATGTTCAGTTGACTGATGCATATCCTCAGGTCTCCATCAGTGAATTCATAGGGTATGTTGAAACCAAGAGCACCAAACTTACGTCTCTCGAGTGTAACACCATGAAAGAGACAGAGGGAGAATAAGAGATGCTTGAACTCTATTGCCTGTGAAGAACAATATTTTATAATTTACAAGTATTATCATTACTACATTTAATACTTTTACTATCAATATAAATGTAAATACACATGTACATGTACATAATAATTATTATTGTTGTTACCTTTTTATTTCCATCAAGGAGCTCCTCATTAAAGCTGGTATATGATTTGAGAAGGTTAGCTTTTATGCCCCGAGGAGGCTCTACTGTCATTTTGCTTCCATTCTGCAATATTGATACTGGGAACTTTGGACTCGGCATGCTCGTCAACCACAAACGAAAGTCCCTGTGTACCTAAAAATTAAAAAAATATAATTATTATATAAATTAAGGTATCAATTCAATAAGCTCAATAATATTTGGTCAGCTTTAAGATTAAAAAAAATTCAATTGTATAAAAATAGTCATTTTCTTACGGCTTGTGGATCAATTTGTTCTATAAGTCTCTCAAGAGAAGGCATCCAAGAAGGAGAGAGATGACAATTCTGAAAGAAGACCCATTGTCCTCTATCCATAGCGCTTCTCATCATAGCTTCAGCACGAGGTCCCTGTCCCTGCCCGAGGGAAATGGCGCTCAGTTTACGCTGGAACTTCATCTCTTCAGCAAACTTGTATAGGTCAGCAGCAGGGTCAGTACCTTGGGAAAGAATGAAGATGAGAGCGGAGCTAGGGGAGGAGTCTTTATAGGCGAGCCTGAGGTCGGCAGTTTGTGGCTCAATGAACCTTTGACCGATCATCTCAGCCACATAGTCTTGTACTGCGTTGGTAATCTTATCTGCTCTTATGCACCTTAGAGATAGTAACTTCTGAAACGAGTTAAGATCAGTGTCCCAATGACCTGGCAATGGCTCCCTAAATAATAATACATATGCAATAAAGTAATTGTAACTGTACATGTACATTTACATGATGTAGCTGTATTGTGAATACATAATATGGTCTCAATATTAATGTGTGTATGTACTTGTGTGGGTTTGGACTGTCGAATATTCTTTTAAAACCTTCAGAGTGCTCTCCAAACTCGTCGGCGAAACTTGAGAACTTTGGTAGAGCAGGAAGAGTGAGTACTTCGGCCCAGGCTCTCTCGGAGAGCCACTCGGGGGAGGGGTTGGGTATCCTATTGGGGATACTAGTACCACCAGCTATGAGGTGTCTCCATTCATTCTATAGAACAAAATCATGTGAAAATAAATACACAATTACATTGTACATACAGTGCATAAAATGTATGTACATTTATATGTTTAACAAAATAAAAGAATAAAATTAATACACAATACATTGCATGTACAGTGTACAGTGTACATGTATATTTCTTCTAGTTCTTACCATGTCAATTTTGTTGTCATTCATTAATATACGGACAGTGAGGAGGAAGGCAAACAATAGCTTGTGCTTCTCAAATAGTGACCGACAGACATTGCAGTATAAACTGAAGGTGAAGTAGTCATTAATGTGAACAATACGCTCGGGCAAATCATCTAAATAAATAAAATAAATAAATAAATAATAATGGTATACTACAGTATACATACATGTATCATGTATATAAAAGTAAATATTATCAGAAAAAATTAAAAAACATGTAGAGTACCTGATGTCTCAGCATTAGCAATACTGCCTAAGAATATACCAATAAACCATTCCAGTGAATACTGGTACATGGGATCAATATTAGCCTACAGTGTGTAGTAGTATGCATTGTGTAGAAGGAATAGAATATATTATTCATTTATATTGTTCTTTTTATCTCTCTCTCTCTCTTACCAAATCAGTGGTACAGAAGAAGAGTAATTGTGTCCTAACAGCCACTGGTATGTACTGACTACGTGTCAGATCAATCTCTTTCTCCGTTTGTTCAGCGTCGGCTACTTTAGCTTTGATCTCTCCAGACTTGATCTTTGATGCCTCCAGGATCTTTATCAAATCAACATCATCAACAGGATTACCTGTACAATACAATATAAAGCAGTTAAAAACATGAAAATATACATGTAAATAGATTATAATCATCACGATTACGCATAATCATAATAATTATACTGTACTTGTATTGTACTACTGATTTCTCTTACCTTCAGAGTTTGACAATCTAAAGAGGATCTTGTCCTCAATTTCTTTAAGCTCTTGCTTCATCTTAGCATTAGATACAATGAGTGCATTCTTAGCCTCTTCTAGATCAGGTCTCTCTTCAGCTACAACAATACCAAGCAACTGATCCTCCAAACCACTAAAGATATCATAAATAAATAAATGAATAATAATAATAATAATAATAATAATAATAATAATATAAATGTAGCACTTTAATGTCTCCCCCTCTCTTTCTCTCTCTTCCTTTCTCTTCTTCCTACATGTGTATGTCTTCTCTTACCCAGGTGATAGTGTGAAGTTCACTAGAGTCACTTTGGTTGATACTTCAGGAGTGTAGTGAGGGTTGGGCAGTTTGGTAGTGATGTACAGCTTGAAGTCATCATGATAGGGTATGATAGAATCACCTAGTTTAATGACAGTACTACCAGCTTGCTTGAATGTCTGTAATGAAAATCAGAGCTCATACATGTAACTGTGTTAAGAATACATTAAAACTGTGTTAAGAATGCATTAAAGTATGAATCAAGCATGCATTAACAGTGTGTTAGTAATACCTGTTGCAATAGTATAGGCTCTAATGCTGGATCAAGCTCTTCTCCAACATTCTCCAGTAAGCATGGCTTACCAAACCTCACTGCATTCTCTAAACTTCTCAAGAAATCCTTATTGGTGAGCTTTAGGACATCAAGATTGTTCTGTTTCTCCTACATTAAATAAAAATATACATTGTATAACAGCATTGTATAGTATACTGCACATCCAGTACAGTATAATAAACCACAAAGTTTTTATAAGTGCATAGGTGTAAATTTGACACTTCCTGTGAGCAGACAACCCACGATGATATGAACTGGTAGTCTGCATATAAAACCAGCAGTCATGCCTCATCAAATTGAATACTTATTTGTTGAGCAAACAAAAATTTTTGGAAGGACAGAAATGTCCTGCATTAATAAACAAGAGTATAATTATTATGTAACATGACAATGTACATGTACATGTAGGTGGTATATTCTTAAAGGATCATGGCATGGTCTATAGTGATGGGTATATGGTAATGGTACCAGACTTTTCCATTTTGGTTTGATACTAAGTAGAAATTAAGTATAGGTTATACACCGAGGTCAAGGTTTCTATGGGATTTATTTACCAAGGGACGCAGTCCTGAGGTAAATAAACCCATAGCAACCGAGACCGAGGTGTATAACAGACTTCTACCATGCCAAATCTGTAGCTAAGAAACTGTCCATGATTAGCAAGGCTTTATAAAAGCACAAGGCCTCTTTACTTCTTTGTATCTTCTTAAAAGAAACGGGAAAATCTCTTCTCCACTCGCGCCATGTGTGTACAGTAAAACTAAACACGCCCAGAACATGCCTTTCCAATTCCACTCCACCCAGTAAGAAGTTTATCACATGGCCCAATGCTTTTGAGGCTCTATTTCTTTCTTTTCGATGTTCTTTGCTGCTTTCTCTGCTAAAAATGATTACTCCTGACGCCATAGCTATGCTTCGAGGTAAATAATTAGAAACCTGTTTGCTCCCGGGCTGTCCGCGAGGTAAATAACTAAGAAAACCTGTTTGGCGACTTTAATAAGTTGGCTATATTTACCTCGGCGAGGTAAATAAGCAATTATATTTACCTCGTATAACGCAATCTGATTGGTCAATTGCAAGTAGGCATGGTAGAAAATAAAATAAGCTGTAATTTATAGTGGATACGTCTATTATGATGCTAGGTGTCGCAAGGCATGGTCAAGGTAATACCAGGATTTGGCATCAATTCCTGATACCTTAGGGTGAGTACATGTATCACTTGTACAATGTACATATCATGCATTGTACAAGTACAGTAGCTCTTACTACTGCCATTCACTTACCAAGTTCTTGATCCATTTATTAGCTTGTCCCTGTGGATCAATGTACAATGGCCAGCGACGGGAGTACTGGGTTATAACACCATTCTCAACTGAGAGTGTGTCACGAGGCAATCCTATGAAATTAACAAATACATGTAAAATAAAATACACATACACATGTACACATGAAATTACTGATAAACAGACAATATTATAAAAACTATCATTTTAAAAATAAGAATATTACTGTATATACATGTACATGATTATTATCATTATCATTATCATTATTATTATTACCAGCAATTTGCCAGTTCCTTATTTTAACAGGGTCACCCAGTGTAGCAACTAGTGTTGGTGATGTGCTGTGTGGCACTGAATTTGACACCAAGTCTTGCATCCAGACATCAATAAGATCACTCCTGTATTCACCCTATTAACAATAAATGTATTATATATATATACTGTATTTACTTTTTGTACATAATACTTAATACTGAATTTTTGTGTTTTATCTATTATTTATGTGTATTATTCTTTATTCTTTAGGTTATAATTTTTAAAAAATAAATGTGCATGTATATGCATAATTATGCTTACAGTAAATGCTCCCAGATATGCGACACAACCTGATGATATCATCACATCCCCGACAATGTTCTTTAGTAGCTCGTCGTCAGCGGCAACAGACTCCGCCCATCTCACCTTCTCATCTGCCAGTCCTCCAATTAACTACATGTACAGAAATTCATCATAAAACCATGTAATCATAGAAAAAAAACAAAAACTCATCAATTTTGCATTTTTGCCATTTTATTTACATGTACATGTATTTCTTACCTTTTCAGCTCTAGACAGTCTTGCTGTACAAAGTGAACATTTCTCTGCCAGTTCCTCCTTCTTTGCTGTAGTTTCTTGGTATTTTGCTTGAAGTGACGCAATACCTTCCTCCACTTCTCTCAGTCTGTTCTTTGCTTCATTCAATATACTTACGGTCTCTTCTAGTGACGCCTTAGCTTCAGCCAGTCTAGCCTAGGAAAAAAAGAAAAAAGAAATTAATACATGTACATGTACATGTACATATGCATGTACATACAGTGTATACATCTACATGTAGATGTATTTTAATGTGGTCTATCAGTTTCTTATTACTGTACATGTGTATGTCACTCAATTTCTTTCTCACTTACTCTTTTGGGAGCAACTCCTTTAGCTACAAAGTGATACTTGTGCATGGCTCTCACCCACTGACATATTGATGTGCAAGCCTTTGATACCTACAATACAATACAATAGGATAACAACATGAACAATGAACAATGAGTCTATTCGTTATACTTTTGATATAGCTTGTGGCGTAAAGTCATCATTATCAATGTAAGGTTGTATTAGATGAATAACAGAATCAGGTATATTGTCCTAAAATGAATAAGACACAACATAATAATATACAGTACATGTACATGTACATGCATTACTATAGCTAGTGTACATGTCCTTTAAGAATTAATTTTTCTTACCTTGTCATATTTGAAAAGACCTTCTAAGAATTTCGTAGGATCTTGTAACAGGCTCTTACCAGGGTCCCAATAGTCGTCAACTTTAGTACCCATCTTCTCCCCGGCTACCTTCTTAGGCTTCACTTCTTTCATGATACAAACTGCTTCGATGACAAGCCTCACTCCGTGTGGCGGTCGCTGTAATGCACGCACTTCTACAACGTCGTTCTTATTGAGTGACTTTAAACTGGCAAGAGCAGCATCCTAAAATTATTATTTTAGATGTGAGATGCAGTATTATATTGCCATAAATGCATGTACATGTAATAAAAATTTGGGAGTGATTTTGGAGCCATTTTTGAAAAACCATGGGCTATAGTCTTACAGTAGGTATTTTTCAGAGTTTTGGCATTTTCTTAAAATGGCCGTAACTTGAAAATTTTAGCTCAGAATCAGTTCAAACTTTCTACATAGCATAAGTACATCAATATGTATCAGAAAATCTAATAAAAAATGGGGGTCAATTTGAAGTCATTTTTTGGAAAAAACCATGGGCTATAGTACAGGGAAATTTTCAAAAATTGGCTCATTTTTGAAATGGCTGTAGCTTGAAAATTTGAAGTCGGAATCAGCTCAAATTTTCTACCTAACATAAGGTCATCAATATGTGTCAGAAAATGTAATAAAAACTTGGGGTGATTTTATAGCCATTTTTCAGGAAAAACCATGGGCTATAGCTTTTTCAAATCTCTCTTTGGCCATTAAATTTTATAGCAACTTTATACATGTAAGTTATACATAAATAGATGACCATGAGCTAAAATGTACATGTACAGGTATATCATCATTATTTTGCCTACAAGAGCTGGTAGTGCTTCATCAAGGTCTCTCTGAGCATCATCAGCAATAGCTTGAGTTTCTTCGGCCTTCATGTTGGCTTCCTTCTCTTCCTTTTGTACGACTGTCTTTGTCTCTTCAGCCACTACCGTGTCCTTTTGAATCTGTTCCATTGTCTCGTCAGTTTCTATCTGTGCCTGCTCCAGCAATGGCTGCATCTCTTCCAACTCTAACTGAAGCTTCTGGACCTCTTCAGATGTACTCAGGAGCTACACAAAGCAAGTACATGAACATGTGCATACTCATAATGAATGGGCAACAAAGCAATAACTCCAATGTATGTGTACATGTACATGTACATTACAATACTAGAGTACAGTACATACATGTACATGTATCAGTAAAGGCATCAAAATGTAATAAAATTAGAGGTGCTTTAAAGGTACATGGTAATTTATTATTAACATGTAACATGTAAATGGTTACATGAATAGACATTCATACAAGTACAAGTACATGCATGTACATGTACATACATGTATACATGTATTTGTCTCTCTTCCCCTCTCTTTCTCTTACCTTATCCAGTCCAGTTTTTGTCCTATTCCTTTGTGAACTAACTTCATTTATTTTCATTCTCAACAGTTTACTGAATGTACCCAACAGTTCAAGGTAACTCGTTGGTGTCACATAATTGTGACGGGAAAGCTCAGCCAGGAATTGTATAGATTTCTTAGCCACAGACTGATGAATGGCAACACAAGATTTAACCAAACCATCGATGATTGCAGGGTCCTCAATCTCCGTTATTTCATTTAAAAAGTTTTTAGCGACTGAATGAAGAGCCTCATCAGGCCATTCACTAAACCAGTCGATAGTACAACAATTCACTAATGAAGGGAACTGTCTTAGCCTTGACCTGAATACCTCACCAATAGGACTATTATTATCAAAAAGAAATAATAAAAATAACACAATAAAAGCCTACAGTAATTCTACATGTATCTACATGTAAATGTACAATTATTTCATACATGTATGTGCTAACACCTATGGTAATTCTACAAGTGCTAACCTCATGCATATAACAATGTGTATGTTGTTCCTGACTCTCTTGGTGTAGGCAGAGAAGAGGTTAGTCTTTGTTGGTTGCAAACCAGCATCAAGGACAACTGGTTTCATCCCGTAATATATAGCATCAAGATCCTCAAATGGATATATGTTAGGAACGTCACCGGAGTTAAGAATATTGTTGATATCTTCAAGAAATGATTCACTTTTGATCTATCAATGTGTACATGTACATGTATATGCAATAATTAATGGTAAAGGATGGGCTTACTTGAGTGTCACTGAAAAGGAATACAACTGGTATATTCTCAAGGCCAGCCTTCTTCATACAGTTCTTAATGTCTTCCCTCCATTCAGCAATGCCATAGTTCTTGGATAACTCAATCTGGAAACACTCATACTCCGCCCTGCACATAAAAATGATTATATATTAGCTCTACTGAAATTGTAATATTAATATTAACAATAGTACATGTACATGTACATGTATATCTTACATGTGAGCAGAGAGTCTGGTTAGACTCTGGCGGCCACTCCCCCCCACTCCGAGTAAGAGGGCGTTACCCAAAGGCTGACGTATGATACGTGATATTCTAGTGACGTGTTTGATTGCGTCAAGAAACAGAACCAGTTTCATCTGAGCCGTGTTCACCTGATTGTAATCGTCAAGAAACTCTTCCATAATACGAGTGGCCTGATAATTAATAAAATAAAAATAAAATTGATTTATTAATTTTTTAATTATGAATTTACATTGTACACTTGTACATGTACGTGTACTATGTACTGTACTTTATTGATTCAATAAATTAATTTCAAAGGCTCACTTTTGAAACATCGTTAATTTCCTCATATATTTTAGGGTCGGCGTTAGGGTTCATAAAGTCCCCGTACAATATGGTGTCGTTGCTGAGCACTTCTTTAGGATCGACGCTGAAGTCAGACATCTTTGATCTAACCATGGTCTCAAACCAAGTCCTGTCCTCATTGTTAACAAGACGATCCTGAAATACCCTACAACACTCGTGGTACCATAACTTCAGTAAACTAGGCACACCCTAAGGGCACAGGAAAGAAAATAAAGCAACAATAACATGTAATGATACAGCACAATCGATGATAATAATAATAATAATAATGATAATAATAATAATAATAATGAAGGATATATTTGTTGTATCGTACCTTTATCGTGTGCATTGGTGCCATTAGTATCCCTTGGAAAACTTTTGAGAGATCCCTCAAGTTAAAAGTGTAATGTGACTTAGCCGGAGTAGGCAGTAACTACATTATACATGTATTAAAAATATACACATGATACATTTTAACTGCAATTTATAGAGAGGAAGGATTTCTGTACATGTACATATATATGTACATGTACAGTAGATGATCCACCCTACCTCAGTAGTGATTGTATTGTAGACACTGATGGTAGACTTTACAATGAGTGGGACGAGATTAGCAGAGTCTTCAAAAGACGACATCCATGACTTCAAGATGACGGAGAATATCCCAAACTGAGAGTTCTCTTCCAGTTCAGTGAAGGAGAGGTAGTTGCAGTGTCGACTGAGTCTTGGGGTCAGGGGGTTACGACCCCCTCCAGGGGGTCCCATTGCACACACAAAATTGATATCGACAAGCTTTCTGAATGAACCTACATGTACAATAAAATAATTTTATACATGTACATGTACATGTATGTACATGTATCTTACCAATTGCTTTTCTGTCATACCATCCCTTGTGGTCCATCCATTGTCTGATCAGTTCAATTGGAGGCTGGGCCCCATACACCTCCAGTTGTGGCATGTTTAGATCATCAATGAAGAAGACAAACTTCTTTCCAAGAGGAGGACCAAAGACACCTTTACGCCTCTTGTCAAGTTTAGAATCTATAATATCCTAGGAAAAAACATTATTATAATATTATTACTTTTAAAATTTATTATTCATAAATACTTGAGTTTGATTGGCTGAGGTTTGTGCAGAGAAGGAGATGATGTGACAGAGGTAGTTACTAGGCATAGTCTTGAGGAGCTTATCCACAACAGTCAGTGTCTTGCCAGTGCCAGTAGGACCGACACACAATATCTGATTGTGAAGAAATAATCTTAAAACTAAGAAAATTTTCCCCGAGAATACATGTACAAGCTAGTACATGCACACCGACCAAATATACTAAAATTTTACACATGTACATGTATTTTGTACCTGTTTCTCATTAGTTAGTAGAAGCTCAATGAGGTATGAGGCTCTAACTGTATCAACAGTTGGTACAATGATATCTGAATACTGCATGTTAACATCAAGGATGTACTCATCTCTATCATCCATCCAGCTCCGCCATGATATTGACTAGAGAAAAGAGAGAGAAAAAAGGAAAATAAAACAGAAATAAAATTGTCCTAATTCTCCTAATTTTAAAGAATACTAAGCAATAGCTACAAGCACATGTACATGTACACATGTTCATTGTTCATGTAGGATAAGATATAAGAAGAGAGAGAATGGCTAACCCTCTTTTTGCTTTTCTTGTCTTCCTCCTCATCTTCATCAGTTTGTGTTTTACTGGCCCCTCCATCATCAAGTACATAATCATACACTGAGCTGTCCGCTGGAAAAGGAAGGCTAATGTTCTCCTTTTCGCACTTCTCTCTCAAGTAGGTGGAGAATTTCTGTCTTGAGGGTCCATCGCAAGTTCCTCCGATACTCCAAACAAGAGAGAATAAGAACCATGGCTCTAGCAGCTTAGGAATAGCAGCAAGCTTCTCTTTGGGAGTAGTCTCGCCCTAAATGATGTAGAGCGTACATGCAGACTAATGATAGGATGAAAGGGAGAGCTCACTTCTTTAGGTATGAATGGCTTAAAGAAGCAGTCAAGTATCTTTGTGATAGAGAATGTTAAGTTCCCATCCACTGAAGTCACTATTTCTTTAGCATTAGATCTTATGAACTTTATACTTGGCTAATAAAATAAAACAAAATAATAATAAAATAATAAAAATACATGTATATGTGTACATGTATTTGTATGTAGAGTAATAATTAAAATATTATAGTTCCTTATTACCTCTAAGAACCTGTTAAACAGGGACTCCAGTGTATCCTTATGCGGTACAATGGCTTCAGGAAGATCCCTCAGCCAGCACTTGATGAAAGGTCTCAGTCCTAATATACTCGGCTCCAGGTACACCATGCCACACCTACTCACAGTCGCTGGACTAGCTACAGCAAGATCCTGGACTTCAAACATCATTGTCATGGCCTCCGTTAGTTTTATAATTTCCCCAGAGCTCAGACAGAGTTTCTTATTATCGTCTAGGACAGTGTTCATGTTTTCTATCCACACGGCGTCCACTGGTCCATCAAATACGTACCATTTCTTGTCCGATGTTCCACTACCCACGCCTTGACGTACGAGTGCAGCCAATATACCATCAGTCCTGTGTAATAATAATAATAATAATAATAATGATGATGATGATGATAATTTTTGTTTCACATGTAGTTTTATTTAATACAAAGTATTTTGTACATGCATTATTATGATCATTGGAAATTTTACCTTATAATAATAATAATAATATTAAAATATTAGTACATGTACATGTACAGTAAATGATTTACCATTCATGAGTTAGTGCATCAAACTCTCCATACAGTTGACCCATAGTGATTGACTTTGGATTGAGTACATAAGCATGTACTATCTCGTATGGTGTGCCCCCAGGAGTGAACTTACCCTTTAGTGCAGTAAGAGCTTCCTGCAGCACTTCATAACACTGGGAAAGAGAGAGAGAGAGGGAGAGAGAGAGAGAAAGAAGAGAGAGAGGGAGTGAGTTAGCAAAAGGGAATGTTTCTTCTTACTCTTGTCTTTCCAGATATGGTAGGCCCCACCAACATAAGCCCGTGCCTAACGACTGTAGTCTCGTACAACTGGATACACTTTTTAACAAACCCTATTAACACAATTACTCTCTCTCTCTTCTTTTCTCTCTTTCTTCTTCACCTTCTACATCTTCCAATCCTTTGTTAGCAATGCTAGTCCTTATGCTCGTGTCAAGGTCGCCGTAATCAATTGGAGTGTCACGTATCTTTGGAAACAAGTCAGAGACGATCCCATTGAAGAGTTTGAGATCATCTTGGAGAAACTTTGGCACATTTACATCCCTTATGGCTCTTAGAACAATGAGTTCCTGTGAATAAAGAGAAAGGAAATGCGCTTCAATTATTAATAAAATCAGATTTGATGACCACCCACAAATGTGAACGGCCCTGTGGCCCAACGGATAAGGCGTCTGACTACGGATCAGAAGATTCCAGGTTCGAATCCTGGCAGGGTCGGGCTAGTTCTAATCTTTTTTGTTTTTTTTCTTTTTATTTTTGGGCACTTTTACATGTACATGCATGTATCTTTTTTGCTGAATCTACCTCATCCATGGTTGGGTTTTCTCTTTTTAAGTTTCCTGCAGCCGATATCACAGTCTTTACAGCACGCATACCAAAATCATAATGATCCTAAATACATAAATACCATCATTATATTGACTATTATCATAATAATTAAACTTACTTGTGAACTCAATTGTTCAGATGATAGCTTGAAAGTAGTCACAATCTTCTTGGCTAGTGTCTTGGCATCCGAGAATCCAAAAGAGAACAACATTATCTCGGCAATCATTGCATAGTCTGGCACCATCATAGCCACTGGACGGAACAAAGCCTAAACATTGGTCGATAATAGATGAGACAATGGTAACATGGTAAAGTACGGTACATGTACATTATATCAACATAGACAGTGATGAAATGTGTACTGTACATGTACAGTATAATATCACACCTTTAGATTATCAGGTAGTTCAGTACGGCCAGCATAGCCAGGATTCATAGTGACAAAGACAGCACAGGAGGCCTTGAGTGATATCTCCATTCCTTCAAACATGAATCTCTCCAGCCGCTCTTGCTGTGCTATCTGTATCGTCGTGATCTGTTGTGCTACAACGGATAACACTTCAATGTCGATACGATTGAATTCATCAAAGCAAGCCCAAGCACCAGAGCTGGCTAGACCTTTGAAGAACTTGCCCATAGCCATGAAGTCCAGCTGGTCAGAGCAATTGAATACAACGCACTGTATCGCCATTGCTTTTGCTAAATCCTGAAATTAATGGACAAAGAGAAAGGACAATAAGATGGAGAAATTGTGAGAGACAAAGCTGGTGTATTATGAAAGCATAATTAGATTGCATGCTTGCACATCATAAGTTTACATGTACATGTACCATAGTTACTGTAAGATCAAAGGGACCGCCAGGTGGTACATAGGCCATGTACACCTAACCGCTGCCAGTTAACGATATTCACTGCAAGATAATGAGATTCATTGGAGTATGTACATCTGTAATGAAATTCATTGGGTGAGTTTATCTGTAATGAGATGCACGAGAGATCTGCGCATGCTCAGTATCCAGCACGTGGCAGAAAATGGCAGCATAGTAGTAGGCTAGACCCAGCCGTTCGCCACTGTATTGACGAAAATAAAGCTCGTGCAGAGATAAATGCTACAGAGAAGTTCCAAGAAGGCCTTTATTGTTCTGTCAAGAAGTAAAAGAGAGGGATAGAGTTTGATCTCCCAGCAAACGAGCAAAACGCGCATCCGTCCCTGGTAGATCCCATAGATCTTACAGCAAATATAGCACATATTATATGAACCATGGTTTCTCGGTGAGTATCAGTAATGTAAGACCTTCGCCCCTCGATGTCTGCCCTCGGCTTCGCCTCGGGCAGACTCTCGGGGCTCAGGTCTTACATTACTGATACACACCTCGAAACCATGGTTTATATAGTACATGTACACATACCTTTACTGTCTCTGTTTTCCCGGTACCAGCAGGGCCGGCAGGGGCTCCACCAAACTTGAGATGAAGGGCACCAGTTAATGTCAAATAGCACCTACAGGAATAATGGAGGTTAGAGCAACTTCAAAACATGTGCATGTACATGGATCAGCATGTACATGGATCAACATGTACATGTACATATACTGTATTGTACCTATCAGTTAAAGGAGTAATGACCAAACGACCTGTATTACCCAAGTACTCATAGCCATACAGAAACTCTGCATTAACTGCTCTAATGAACAAATCATCATTCCAATAGTATCTAAAAGAGAGAGAGAGAATGTAAGCTTAAAATGTAAGCTTAAAAATACTGTACAAAATTCATGCATTATACATGTTTGCATAACTGTATGCATATACAGTGTACATGTACATGTATGTACATAAATTATTGTATAATCTAACTCTGTACCTCAGTTGACTGATCCATTCAAAATCATTGACATCAGTTACATTTTCGTCCACCATGTTGCTCACCACATCTCGTGCATGGACCTCAATGACAATCAATGCTGAGAGTATCATGCGACCCAATTTACTGAGTTTACCCCTCACCAAACCAACAAGATCAGACAACTACATGTATGATAAAAATTAACAGTAAAATTGCTAAGTATCATATTAAAGATCTCCTGCTAAAATTGGTACAGTGTAGCCTCTATATAATGGACACTTAGGTAAAAGGAAGTACAGAGGTGTCCTTTATGTGGAGGTTATTTTATACAGTAAGGAATGTAATTGGTACACTAGGTGCTGTCTGTTAAATGGAGGTGTATGCTGAAGAGAATCTCCATTAAAAGAGGCTATACTGTACAGATATTAGAAGTGGGTTCAAGGTATTGGATGTACTTGTTTAAGCATGTCTTGGTAGAGCTCAGGCAGGACTCCTTTCTCTAGTGCTTCTGATACTTCAGTCGTCCACACGGTCTGACAATCAGCAATGACAACCTGCCCAGGCCACTTGAGTACCCACTCAGTACGAGGGAGCTGCAAAAATAAAATAAATAAAATAAAATAAATAATAAATATATGTACATGGATATAAAAATAAACAAGACTATTCACAGTGCATATAAAATGCTTGATAATTTGCAATATTGCATACATACATGTACTGTACATTAATGCATAATAAGTGCATGCTTATATACACATCAAAATAGCACAATAATACACTCTCATTCCTCATTCATTACTTTGTGATAGTCCTCCAGTGAGTCTCTTATTATTTCTTTCAATGACAGTCTCATCAGTTTCTCTACCTCTAGCAGCCAGTCCTCAACATTGCCTTTAGGATAGAGGACATTGCAGAATGGAACCATCTCACCCTCTCCTGAATACATCTCTGTGATGGCTAGATCCTCTTCAAACTTGAGCTGCAGAGAGAGAGAGAGGGAGAGGAGGAGGTGCATTTTATGCAAAAGCTTATTATAATGATATTCATTGTTGTACTTGTACATTGACCCAGCCCACATCCTTCACTGAGTATCTGACCCACAATGATATGAAGAGGTTACTTGGGTATATAAATGACAGACACTAATAGGTTGAGTTATCAAGATCAAAAGATGAAGGTTACAAATTTTTGGAAGGGACCTTCTGAGGTCCTTCCTCACATACATTGTATATCAATAACAATAATAAAATTAATTATACAGAATTATCTAACTATGCATATACATGTACATGTACATGTATATGTAAATCCAATCTAAAAGTATGTACACTGTACATGTGTACTACTACAATACATGTCATTATATGTATTGTATATGTACATGTAATTATTTACTTTTGCAATGTTTTCAAAGCATTTTCTCAAGTGAGGCTGAACTGCTGTTGGATCCTTTGTCTGTGAGAGAATTTCCAACAACTCATCATCAGACAGAAAGTAAAACCTAAAAAAAAATAATGGTTAATGAAACTTGCATTTTTATTCCCTCGCTCTCCCTGCTCTCTCTCTCTCTCTCTCTCTCTCTCTCTCTCTCTCTCTCTCTCTCTCTCTCTCTCTCTCTCTCTCTCTCTCTCTCTCTCTCTCTCTCTCTCTCTCCTCTACCTCCCATTACTGACCGAGGGAATGAGAGTCTCTTTGTTTCCAAGTACTCGCTGAGTCCTTTCTGTACCTGGTCCAAGAGTTTGTTGCATTCTCTCAAGTTGTCAAGCAAATGATTATCAGGACAGAAAGATATCACCTACACAAGACAAGACAAGAAATACACTAGTAGCTATAGGACATCAATATACATGTACATGTACATGTACAATGCATGTACATGTACATGTAATTGTAGTTATTTTGGAGTCAATTATTGAAATAGACCAGTACCTATAGTCCAACCAGTACAATTACCTTTGGGTCTTGCTTTGCATTGTTCATGATTTTCCTCCAGAGTCTGTCCATCGTTTGGTATCTCTTCCCTTCCACTGGTAGCTGGCGGTTGATGTCATCAGATGAGAATATCGGCTCCAAATAGAGCCAAGACCTCTGACACAGAGCCCATTCTTCCAACACATCCTATCATATACAGTATGTACATGTATATCATAATTATAATGTATTGTATTGTACATATACCATGCATGTACATGTACATGTGTTTAATCATAAGGTATTGTACATGTACATAAAGATGCATTACAATGTACATATACACATGTACAGTATATGTATCTCATAGTAGTAGTAGTACTGCTTTGAATGTACAGTACATGTACATGCATACACTTTACTTGTGTAGTTCTCAGTTTATTCTCCCACGTGACAATCCTTTGCTCAAATGGTTTCTTGTAAGGCGAGAAAGACATTGCCTGTGTCATTACGATATGGTCATCCAGCTGCTGTGCACTCTCCTCCCCGCTCTTCATGATGTACGTACCAGTCTCCTTGTAGGCTGATATCTCCATTAGGACATTCTCCCATTCTGACTCCATTTTATCCAATGCCTATTAACAAATACAATGTACATGTACATGTAGTAGTAAAAATCAGGAAATTTATCGTGTTGAAATCCTTTGTGGATTAATTTTTGTGCAATTTTGACATTTTTATTTTAGGATAAAATTTTGCAAAATTAAAAGGAAATCTCTACTAAATTTTATGCTATCAAGGTATAAATTTCATTGTATTTACCTGTTCAATTGAGAATTCCTTTCCAGCTACTTCAGCAACTTTACTGATGGCCTCTATGTGATTCTGTAGTCCCATCTCAAGACACTTTGAGAATGTGAGGTTCGACTTTGGAAATATCTGCATCCCCAGCCCGTTGGAGAGTTGTTCCCAGTGCCTGTTCCTCATTCCTGGGTTCCTCAGTCCTTGGATCAACGGTATGTACGGACGGAACTCCTCAATCTGTTGCTTAACCTCTTGAGCTACATTCAAACAACCAGGGATATCTCTGACAGGAAGATAAAGAGAATGAACTAAGTTATTGTATTTTAGTTTTTGGTATTGATGCATTACATGTACATGTAAATGTAGAGACAATATAATTTTATTTTAAAATAAAAATTAAATGTACTAAATGTACATGTACTGTAGATTACATAAACATTTCTCTCTTTTCCCTCTCTATACTAACTTGAAATGCTTCACTGCTTTATGCATGGTTTTGAAAGCATTCTGTACATTATTAGCCATCAGTTCAGGGTCAATGTTAGCCAGTGAGTCATTCATCCAGCTCTCCTGCCACCTGCTCCAATCAGCAGCTGTCAGCCAAAGGTTCTTGTACGGCTCAAAGTCTTTCAACAATCGACCAATCTTCTCATACTACAATAATAATAATAATAATAATAATAATATTTAAAATAAAATACATTATGCTGTGATTATTATTATACTGTACTTGTGTGACTGGTTGTCCAAATAGTCTCTCCCTTTGGTTGTAGAGCTGTGCTAAGGTCTGGCACTCTTTGAGGTTCTTCACAATACGACGGACTTCATTAGAAATCTCCTGAGCACGAGATAGATCAGTGTTACCTGAAAACCCTGCGACTGCCATCTGTAGGAGGGAGAGGGGGAGAGAAAGGAGAGAGGTTGAAGGTGGTTGGGATAATAAATTATTTCTTGCCTCCAGTGAGTCCAAACGATCTTCAAAGCTAGCCTGATCATTTTGAAGGTTCTTTTGAAACTTCTTCTCATTTTGTTCCAGCTGTTGCTCAGTGTTCTCAATTTGATCATACACTTTCTTAGGGCCACTAACAGCACTCCACCTGTACAAATAGCGAAATAAACAATAGCTAAATGTACATGTACAATGATATAAAAGTGGGTAAATAATGCTGCTGGTACAGTATAGTACATGTATACATGTACAGTAAGTGTAATTACACATGTATATCAAAGTTATGTACATACTTTGCATCAAAGTCCTCATCAGTGAGTGCGTAATAGTATTCTTCTAGCATATTGTAGTCGGACATGTTTTGATCAATGAGCTTCTGATGCTCTATCACTTGCTATAATCAAAAATAAAATAAAATAAATAAATAAATAAATGAATAAATTTGCGGTACCTCTGGTATTGTCTTTATGTATTCTCTTGTTTCCGTTAGTTCTTCGATTGTGTTTGGTTTTTCAAACAACCTACGACTTATCTGGCTAAACTCTTCGCATATCTTTAAAAAAGAGAGGAGAAATAAATAAATAAAAAACAATGTGAATTATATTAAATGCTGTACCATGTCAGCATCTTGACGTAGTTTCTTTGCTAGGAAGTCGAGAAGAGCCTGAGAGATGTCCTTGTGTTTCTTGGCTAGTCCAGTCCGTACAGTGTCAACGTTGATGTAGAACGGGCCAATGATAATGTACTGGGGAAAGGTGGCCTCAATGTGAGCCTTTAGTCTCAAGTGCTCATCAATGAACTGCTTAATCTGAAGACTCGTGTACTCACCTTCACTGAACTCCCTGAGAGAAGAGAAAGAGAGAGAGAGAGAGGAAAAAAGAGAGAGAGGGAGAGAGAGAAGAAAAGAAAGGGATACAAGTACATTAATTTGTGCATTTACATTGTAGAAGAATACAATAGAAAGGAAATAGAGACAGTATAGCATACTGTATATAAGCTTTGATATCTTTGTTCAATAAGCTGAGGTGAGGTATAAACTTGAGGGCGTATGCCTTCAGTGGTATGGCTGCCTTTCTAATGGCGGTACACATCCTGTCCCTCTTCTTGTCAACCTGAGGCTCGTGAGCACCCACAGACTCTAGCAATGGAGTCACCGGCCAAAAGAGTCTATCAACAATGAACTACAGGAACAGAAAAAAAGATAATTTAAATTCAAAATTTAAAATTTAAATTATAATAGTGTAAAGCTGACTTTCTCCAGTTGAGGTACACTCTGTGTGCTTTGTATTCCTCTATCAAATACTGTTACAAGCATTGACTCAAAATCCTCCAAAGGACACGAATAATGTGAACCAGCTTCATCCAGCACCAGCTCCAAATAAAACAATGGGCCATACTTGGGTCTATGAAAATAACAACAACAACAACAACAATAATAACAACAACAACAATGTATGCTGTCTTACTTGTATGAGCTGCTAGTAAGGTCGTCTCCCCACTCAAAGTCATCAGTGAGGTCGTTAGTTGAGTGACAAGCGTCTTCTGCCATTTGAACAAAATCAGAGAGAGAGTTGAGAACTAGTGACCTCAATGCATCCTAACATTAGAAATAATGAAAAATGTATGTGTACATTCAATGTAATAATAAATGCATGCATACATGTACAGCTCAAACTTTCTGCATTAACATACAGTAATACTACAGTAATACTGCAGTAATACTACAGTATTACTACAGTAATACTACAGTAATACTACAGTAATACTACAGTAATACTACAGTAATACTACAGTAATACTACAGTAATACTACAGTAATACTACAGTAATACTACAGTAATACTACAGTAATACTACAGTAATAATACAGTAATACTGCAGTAATAATAATGAAACTTTCTGCATAATAGTAATTGGCATTACATAAAATGCATTAGAACAATTACACTACATGTAGATGTACATGTAGATGTACATGGATACAGTGTATCTTACCTGCATTGCAAACTTAGTAAGTTCCATCAGTTTCTTGAGCTTAGAGCCTTGATATACCTCCCAGTTGGACTCTTCAAGGTTGAACCATCCCTTGGATATATCAACCAGGCACTGATGTATGGAGCTACGGAGTGTGGGGACCCATGTCTCCTTCAGATAGGTCTGAACCTAAACAATAGCAATAATAATAATAATAATAATAATAATAATAATAATAACAATAATAACAATAATAACACAGTACACCTAACAATGTATGTACATGTAAATGATGCAATGATGGTGATGAGTATAGTGTTAAGATAGTAGGAGTGGCTCACTGTGGTTGGATTACATGATAGATAACAGATTAATGGACTCATTTACTTTAAAAGCTATTATCATAACATCTAAGAATCAGGAGATTAAAAATGGCAGCTAAACCAGTTGTATTTGTGATTGGTGCCTCAGGTACTGTTGGATCAGCTACCATCAGTGCATTGGCTGGAAAGTATGCAGAGACTGTAGAGATAAGAGCTGGTACACGTGATCCTGATAAAGCACCTGATAGTATTAAAGTTCCTGGTGTTACCATTGTACAGGCCACAATGGGTGAAAAAGAACAACTACTAGACACATTTAAAGGAGTGGATGCACTCTTCATTGTAACTCCTCCGGTTCAAAAAAGAGCTCTCATGGTTATGAAGACAGCAGAAGCTGCCAAAGAGGCTGGGGTTAAATTCATAATGGCCGTGAGCACACCACCTGCAGCTGATCCCAATAAAGCTCCGTTATTTGGAAAAGAATTTCATGAAATAGAGGTAAGGCTCTCAAAGCTTGGTGTTCAATATTGCATCCTGCGTCTACCTGGTTTCATGGAAAACTTGTGGGGCTACAAAGCCACCATTGCAAGCCAGTCTACCTTCTTTGGTCCTTTGGCACCAGATACCCTCCTAAGGACTATTAACAATCAGGACACTGGTAAAGCAGCGGCAGCCATTCTAACGGACTACAGCAAACACAATGGGAAGACCTATGGCCTGTATAGTGATTTCTACACTAGCACAGATGTTGCAGCTGCTTTTAGCGAGGCATTGGGTAAAGAAGTAAAGTATGTTCAAGTTACAGTTGAAGGAATTGTAGAAAGAATGAGAGGACGAATGGAAGACTGGCAGCTGGAAGGTTTAAAGGAATTAATGACACTCACCAAAAATGATGATCCTCTTCTTGCTGAGCAAGCAGATTTTGATACCCTGAAGTCTCTCACTGGAGAAGAACCCACCACCATGAAAGAGTTTGTTAAGAAAATTGCTCCAGCTTTCAAATAAAAAGACAAATTAACATTATTATTGATTAGTAATTTTAGTAACTATTGCTATTAATCTATAATTATTATAATATAAATGTATTAAGCTGCTTCTTTTTTCTCTTTGTTGTGATGCCCTTCCTTTTTGTGAGGTGCAAAAGTTCACATCAAGTCATTTCTAGGCTATACAGTGTAAGAGGATGTTTATAATAAATATCATCAGTAATTGGCTCATTATAAAGCAAGTCCACATCCTGTTAGACTGCTATAAGGGTCAGAGTCAAGCAGAGAAAGAAATAAAGAGGATACAAGGCTATAGAATGGCAGCTAAACCAGTTGTATTTGTGATTGGTGCCTCAGGCAAAATAGGATCAGCTACCATCAGTGCATTGGCTGGAAAGTATGCAGAGACTGTAGAGATAAGAGCTGGTACACGTGATCCTGATAAAGCACCTGATAGTATTAAAGTTCCTGGTGTTACCATTGTACAGGCCACAATGGGTGAAAAAGAACAACTACTAGAAACATTTAAAGGAGTGGATGCACTCTTCATTGTCACTCCTGGTACTAGCGCTAATAGAGCTCCATTCACAATAGAAACAGCAGAAGCTGCCAAAGAAGCTGGAGTCAAGTTCATAATGGTCGTCAGTACACCTTATGTTGTATACCCTAACACACATGATATGAAGCAATTTAAAGAAATTGAAGACAAAATCCCACAACTCGAAGTCCCCTATTGCATATTACGCCTCACTCCTTTCTATGACAACTTCTGGGTTTACAAAGAGAACATTACCAGTGACTCCATATTCTATGGCTCAGTCTATTCAAATGAAAATGCAGCAGTACTTGATACTACTGATGCTGGAAAAGCAGCAGCTTCAATCCTAGCAGACTACAGCAAGCACAATGGAAAGACGTACCAACTAGCAAGCGATCGGTACACTAATAAGAAACTTGCTGCCGCCTTTACTGAAGAACTGGGTAAAAATGTCGAATATTCCCGAATACCAACTAAATCCTTGAAGCAGACAGTACACTCAAAAGATTGGCAGATCATTGGAGCACTTGAATTTGTGAAGATTTATAATGATGGAGCCCCTGAAGCTACTGAAGTAGATCTCAGCGTGTTGAAGACTCTGACTGGAGAAGACTCAACCATGATGAAGGAATGGGTCACTAAGAATGCTCCTGACTTTAAATAACTTACAAGAATATCTACTGCACATGTACACGTACAAGTACAAGTACATGTAATAATGAATGTCATAATTATAACAGTTTATAATGTCAATGTATAGTATATAATCATCATCATTTCTTAATAAATTAAAATTACCAAGAATAGTGTCAAGAAACTGATGATGCCAATACTATAAATCTAGATATACATGTACACTATACAATAAATACATGCAGTATACATGTACACATGTACAATGTACAGGTACATTCATAATTCATCCAAATGTACTTACTTGCATTGTTGCTTGACCCTGTGCCTGATCAAACTCCTCAATTTTCAAAGGTTTACCAGTTCCAGTGTGAAAGAGCTCCATCATTGTCACCTTATCACACTCCACCGTCACATTCTCAAGCGATGAAATGACCTCGGGGACCGTGAGTAGGGACTGGAACTGAAACTTCTGACGAACCTTCTCAAATGGAAAAGGAGGCACATCTGTATGCTTCCCTGCAAGATACAAAAAAGATATAATATGAAGGAGAAAAGAACAATAGCCAAAGCATGCTTCATGAGCTGACAAAGCAACTTTAAAAATTCGTAAAAGATCCAATTTTGATCGGAATCAGTTCAAACATGCTACACATCATTAATGTGTACTGGGTATGCATCATAAGAAATATAAGAATGGAGACTGGATACATGTATTTGTAATTCAGTGTACATGCATTACCTTTATCAGGTACTTGTGTAACTTCAGTTTCTGGGAGTGTTACAAAAGGGAAGGTGACAGGATTACCAGTGACTATCTTATCAAAGAGTATCTTGTTCATAGCTCTCGTGAAGTCAAGACCAATCTCCTCCGAGAGTGAATCAGCATGAGAATCAAGACTTTTATAATAAAAGACAATAATGAATATGTACTGTACATGTACAATGTACATGTACAATGTACATGTATTAGAATAAAAGAAAGATTATGTAATAGTATAATAACAAACTGTAAACTTGCTACTTCACACAAAAACTTTTAAAATGTAAAACCTCATAATAATACACTTAGTGTATGTACATGTACAAGTACACGTACATGTTACATAGTACATACAGTACCTGTACCTTGGTTTTAGCAGTGCATCACTGGAACGAGCAAGAGTAGTCATCTTGTTGAGTGAGTCTGTATCAATGGAGCCACTGTATTCATTGAAGGGCATGCAATCAATGTAAAGATGATATCTTAAAAGAGCCTCAGTCTCTTGACGCAACTTGTACGCACTTGAAACTCTCTCGGCAAACACCAGGGGGTCTTCTGCCGAAAACATTAGTCTGATACGAGGGACCCAATATTGAATAATGCCAGATCCAGAAGTAGGAGGTGCTTCATCACTTTCCTCACTGCTACTCCCGTCACTGGACGAGGGAAGAGGAGGAGGAGGGGGGAGGGTGTAGTCCTTCGGTAAGTGAACCCTCTTCACTAAATACAGTTTAGAGTCGCTCCGATAATCAAGCATACCAACGTCTGTCCACTCATAGCGAGGTCCAAGAGGGGCGGAGTCACCCATAGGAGAAACAGGGGGCAAGTTACGACCACCTATTGGACTTTTGTATCGTCCTATTAAAAATAATTAAAATAATAATTATTATATATTTAATTTACTTGTAGGTCGATGAGAAGGAGGCGGGCCAGTGGGAGGAGTTACTGTCCTGTGAGGGAAAGGCTCCAAGACTGGGATAAGAGCTTTAGCAGGAACTGGTTTCATTGTACCATTCTCAGACCCTAGCAATGAACATGAACATAGCATTGAGAATAATGTACATGTACTGTACAATTATGAGTAATAATAATAATAATTTTCATAGTTTACTAAGGCATTATTATTATTATCATCAATTTCATTTTTATACCCATGCATGTACATGTAATACACATACATGTACACATAATTATACACATCTACATATAACAGTTGATACATAAGAGGTAATACACAATTGCACATGTACATGTACCTAATGCTAGCCATTCTTCTGGTGTCCTACAATCAAACTCGGTATCATCAAACACCTCCAGTGGTAGGAAAGAGGGAAAGGTTGGTGAAGGTGTTTTGACTCCATTGCTATTAGTGGTGTTGTTATTGATCAGCGAATGAGAGGTGGTATCAGCTACTGGCATTAGATCAGCCGAAGTGATCCCTTTCTCTTCTAGTAATTTACCAATGTCTTGCCGAGAGAAAATACGTTTACGCCTAAATTATAAAATAATAATAATAATAATAATAATAATAATGATAATAATAATAATAATAATGATAATAATAATAAAATAACAAAATGACAGTTAAGTCTCTTTGTATGTACCTTTCGATTTCGACCCTCCGTGGAGTTTTTCCACTCTCTACTTTATAGGGTACCTGTACCTTTGGGTCCCAGGCTTTCTGTGAAAACTCCTACGTGTAAATAAATGTACACAAAAACTTGAATCATATTTATTTGAGATTTTAAAGGAGTATATGTAGATGTACATTACAGTGTAATGATTCCTTACATCATCACTAATCAGTTGAGTGGTTGGTCCATAATCTTGTGAAGAGAGTAATGTACTGAAATTATCTGGTGTCTTGAACTTTGTCACTATAAATATAATACAATACATGTGCACATGTAATGATCGATGTTAAATGCATGTAATTAATCAATTAAAATAATGTATATAATTGTAGTACATGTACATTAAGAATGAGACTTAGATCATTTTGCTCACCACTAGGCAAATGCTGGTCCATTTGTGACACTGTCACTATGTTTGGCAGCTGGGGCTTGGGTCCATGATGGAGTCCCTGGAAAGAAATGGATGGATTGTCATGTTCCATTGTTTGTAGTACCTGTAGATGACTCCCTGCGGCCACATTGGTCACTTCTGAGTAAAATCCACGCTGAAGTCTTCCTCCTGGAAGCTTCTGTCCTCCTCTAGGACGAGTAACCGTGCCAGGTCTAGTGGAACTCATGGCAGAAGAGGAAGAGAAACTTTCTCTAGTGCCTCGTTGCTTAGCAACATTATATCAATCCACGCCCCTCTTATTACTGAATTTTTTAGTTTTAAGAATGACAAGTTTTAGTCTTTTAGAGCTATTTAAAAGCTTTAATGACAAGAGGCAGTGTTAATTATAAATTTGAATTGGCACAGGTTTTTGGAAAAGACTCTAATTTGCTAACATAAGCTTACAAGAAAGTTATAATAAGCATCAAAAGTTCATTAAGGTCAGTACATGGCTATAAAGCGTTTACAGTGTATATAATGCAGTATTGTAATGACAGTTAGTATGTGTAGGCGAAAAAATCACGTGCTGTTGCGCAAGCGCGCGGTGGCCTAGTGGTTACGGGGGTGGGCCCGGCCTTGAGGCAAGAAGGTCCGGGTTCGAATCCCCGAAACCGCATTTGTAGACTTTCTTGTAAGTTCTTTGGTAGGTATTCTTGTAGGCACTAGGTAGGTTATAAGCCGTGGCTGGCTTCAGTGGCATGCAATTACATGTAAGTACAATACACTGTGTCTAATATAGTTTAATTAGTATGCATACAGAGCTTACATTATAATGCACACACAGCTTCAGACTACATTACAGGTTTGTACAGTGCTGGTGACACACTTCCATTGGCTACCATTCCTC